TATAAAAGACTACCAACGAAATTACTGATTCAAAAAAAAGTCTTTCTTATGCGGAGCGGTGGGGGGCGGAGTGGGGAGTCAAGGTTTCTGAAATCTTTCAAAACATAGTGCCGCGAGTAACCTGACAATCTAGAGACTCCTTCATATCTATGGCCCCAGGGACTGAGGCGCTGGCCTCTGGGACTTCTTTAAGCAAAGGAGTGGGAACAAAACTCTCCCGGCTCAGTCCCCTGACCCCCCACTTTCGGGACGCCACAGAAAAGAAGGGGGGCCAAGGAGCTGAAGCGAGGAGAGTGGGGACGGAGAGGGGACGTGGGAGCGAAGTCGGGGTCCCCTGACGATCCGCCCCACCCAGGCGGCTCACCAAAGCCAAGGAAGCACATCAGCAACAGCACCAGGAGCCGGTGCGCCAGACGACTCGGGTCGCAGAGGGCCGGCAGCGCCCCGGGGGCGGCAGGGCCATCTCTACCAGTCTCGTCCGGGCCGTTTGCCAGAAGCCCCCGCGCTTCCTCATCTTCCTCCTCCATCGGGCGGGCTGGAGACGGAGAAGCGAGAGCCGCCGCAACTCGGGTGCCGGGCCAGAGCCCAGCCGAGACTCCGGTCACGTGACGGCGACCGGTCACGTGAGGCTGCGGCAAGTCACGCAGGGCCGCGCGCACGCGATCACGTGGTGGGCAGGGCTGCGGGGAGGGCCGGGCGGAGGCGTTGTCTTTTGGTCTGTTGTCAGTGGGCAAAGCTGTCTTCGTGGGCTGAGGTACTTTAAGCGCCCACCCTCGGCCTTCCAGCGTTCACCGCGCTGTCGTTTTGTTTCCTGAGCTGCTTCCAAATACGCCCACTGCAGACCCGGCGCAGCTCCCCCAGGAGAAGGTGCCGGCTTCCTCCTGCGTGATCCCACCTGCGCTGAGGACACCGAAACACGCGTTGAGCTGCTCGCAGCATTGCCCTCCGCAGCCTCTTTGGCTGCTGTTAATACAGAGTGGATTGAGCACCTCTTCACAAGCTCTCTGACCTCAGAGTTCACGGTTTAGTTGGAGAGAGCGACAGAAACTGATACATTAAAAAACAAAAAACAAAAACCATGACGAATGGATGAGAACAGAAATAAGCACTGAATTCTATAGAAATGCCTGGGGAAGACGTTTGGGGAAGGGAGAACAGGTGAATAGTTTAACCAGCCTTGGAGGAAAGTGGCAGCAGTGAGTGTGGGGAGCGTTGAAGCTCCTTTCAGTTGATACCTGAGCTAGGATTAGTAAGAATGAGCTAGTTAGGTGCCTGATGAGGTTATCCGGGAAGACGGTTAGGAGATAACAAAGACGCAGGCATGAAACAGAACCGGATGTGTGTGTGTGTGCTTGTATTGATCTGGGAATGAGAGCTGAGCCAAAGAACCTGAAGAGTAGAAAACACTAAACCTGTTTCATGAGGAGCCATGCAAAGATTTTGAGCACAGCAGCAAGAATGAAAGATGTGTTTTCAAAACTTCAAGCTGGCGACATAACCCTGCCCCTGCTTTCTGGGTGTCCCCAGGCTTTGCCAACAAAATTTTGAGGGTTGACAAAGCTAGAAGTTGAATAACCATGAGGATTATTAGGTATTACGAAGGTTGGAGGTGGCAGGGGCCTATACTGGAGAAATAAGTATGAAGCAAAGGAGACAGAATAAGTATATAGGAGGTGAAATGGGGATGAACTTGTAAATAATAATAGCATATGAGGTCTGAAAGAAAGGAAGGATTTGGGAACATCTCCCAGATTTCTGGCTTGGGCCCCCAACAGAGATCAGATTATAGGAAGAGGAGAGTAGGGGACAGTGTCAGAGGAGACAGATCAGTTTGGAACAGGTCGCCTTTGAGATGTCTATACCTGACTTCTCCACTTTCCCATTTTCTCTTCAGCCCCAAGGGAGGCTCCCCCACTCTAGTGAGACTGTCTTGCCAAGATGATTAACAACTCCATCTTCCAATTACAGTGGTCACTTCTCTGTCCTCAACTTACTCGACTTTTCAGCATCAGTTGTTTAGTTGGCAGCCCCCTCTTTTTTGACCCCCTTGAGACTACACTTGCCTTGTTTTCCTTGTAGTTTAGGGGACTGTCTCATTTGCTGTCTCATTTGTGAGCTCCTCCTCTTCTACCTGAACTCTAAATATTCAGAGCTCCAAGGCCCAGGCCTGGGCTCCCTTCCACTCATCAAGTCCCATAGCTTTAAATATTATTGCTGTCTATCTCTGTTGTCCAATAGGTAGCCATCACCATGTGTGCCTGTTGAGCACCTAAAACATGGCTAGTCCTAATTAAGATGTGCTGTAAGTGTAAAATATACACCAGATTTCAAAGACTTATTTAGTATGAAAAAAAGAATGTAAAATATCTTGTTAAGTTTTATACTGATTACATGTTAAAATAGTTGTATTTACATATATTGAGCCAAATAGGATATGTTAAAATTAATTTCACCTGCTTTTACTTTTTAATAAGGCTACTAGAAAATTTTAAATTATATATATATTTCTATTTATGATTTGTATGTTAATGCCTCCAGAATACCTCCATTCCACACTCCTTTCTTGAGCGATAAGACGCCTGTTCCAGTTGTCTACCTGACATCTCCATATGGATGACTCACTAATAGGCATCTCAAATCTAACATCCAAAACAGAATCCAGTTCTCTCACACATGCTATACCTGTGCTCCTCAGCAAAGCGAATGGCACATCTCTCCACTGGTTGCTAGCCATGGACGTAGCAGTCATTCTTGTTGGCTTACTTACCTCATATCCCACATCTACTCCACCTTTGGAGTTGTCATGTCAACTTGCCTCCAAAAACATCCTAAGTCCATACACACTCTCCACCACTACTGTTCTTAACAGAGTGGTATCACCTGGACAACTGTAACACTCTAAATTTTTTAAATTTTGCTTATTTTTAATGAGAAATACACACACCTGGTATGACATTCAAACAGTACCAAAGAGACTAGAGTTCAAAGCCAAGTCTTTTTCGGCCTCCCTACCCCCAGCACTCTATGGAAGTTTAATCACTATTACTAGATTATTTTGTATCCTTTCAGAGCTATCCCACACAGTTGCTTTTTTTTTTCTTTCAACCCAACAAAATAGCCTGGAGATGGTCTTCAATTTTTTTAATAGATGTAAAGGATTCTCTTGTATGGATGTATTATACTTTCTTTAGCAAGTCCCCTGTTGATGAACATTTGTTCCCAAACTACTCACATGCTATTATATAGTATATATTATATATACTATATAATACTGTTTTCCAAACTACTATATACAAACTACTATACACAGTACTGCAGTGAATTACCTAGACAATGGTCATTTCACATATGTTGACTTTACCTATAGGATAAATTCCTAAAAGTAGAATTTCTAGGTCAGATAGAAATACTTTAAAAATTCTGTTAGTGTCAGGCCGGCCGAATGGCGCGATGTTTAAGAACTGGCTTGGGATGCCAGAGGGCCCTGGTTCAGATCCCACATATGAGGGCCAGTGACACNGACCACATGTGACGGCCATACTAAAGAGCAGGGATGCTGAAACAGGTAAGGAATTAGACAATGAAACTTGTAAGATCTATTCTAAAGCTCAGATTCTTTGAGCTAATGAATGCTCATCTAGCTATTTTAGACTGTTTCCTAAATGAAATAAGGTTAGAAATGCCTTAATTAAAGGAAGGACAGTGCTATGCTATATATAGTCTAGAAAAATATATTTAAAAATCAATACCTAATTTATCATACACAAACACTCCATCTTGTAATTTTTAAGAGATAACTTTAAGATTCAATCTTTTGTTTCCTATGTAGCTTCATTAGGTTTGTCATACTTACAATTCTAGCCATGCTAAGCTGTAGTCCAAACACCAGGTTTAATTCTTTGCCTTTAAACCAACTCACAGCATATGTATTCTGGGCAACTGCTAAGGATTCCCCACCAATCCTAAAAATGAGGATAGCAAGAAAAGTGAAGCTTTTAAAAAAAGATCATGGTTAGCAATACAGCAGGTTTAAAAGTTTGACACCCCTCTTATCAAAAGGTAGAGTCGCTTTCTCCTCCCCTGAATCTAAGTGGGCTTGTGATGCTTCAACCAATAGGATATGTCGGAAGTGACGCTGTATGAGCCCAAGGTTGGGTCATAAAAGGTGACATCTGCCTTTTCACTCAAACACTCACACTTGGAGCCCTGAGCTACCCTATAAGAAGCCCAACTACCCTGAGTTCACCATGCTATGAGACAGCCAAGCCACACGGAGAGGCCACCCTTAGGCACTCCAGCCAGCAGTGCTGGTCTTCAAGTCATCCCCGCCCAGGCGCCAGACATGTCAATCAGCTAGCTTTCAGATGATTCCAGCCCCCCACCGTCCATGACACTTTCCAGCTGAGGCTCCTGACAAGCCCTCCATGCTATACCCTGTCCAAATTCCTGACCCCCAAAGTCCACGAGCACAATGAAATGGTTGTTTTATACTGCTGAGATCTGGGGAATTTGACATGCTGCAATAATAATCATGACAGGCACTAAAAGGCCTCTGGTTACCACATCACCATGTATGCTATACAAAATGTTCATGTGGTGAGAGTGGGCCATACTTTGTCAAAACACAAAAATTCACACCTTTCTGGCCAATACCTTCCTTATTTGACATTCTCCTACTTCCTGGGTTTTAATTTTCCTTCTGTAAATACTACATATTGACCATTCCCCACTCCAGGCCTTCAGTTTGGAGCTTCTTCTTCATATCCTAACACTGAGCTCTCTTCACCACTCCTTCCTAGTCCAAAAATAGCTCCCATCTCTTCTACCAATCCAAATCCTATATGATGCCACGGCCCACGTGGTCCATGAGGCCACTTCTGACCACATTTGCATCTCTGAATCCCTTTCCATTTTTATATACATTTCGTCCTTCTCTCATTGGGAACACTTTCTAGAGTATGTCACATATGTCTACGTGTCCCTGGTAACCGTGAAAAGATTGAGTTATACTTTTACGTTAAAGATTCAATAAGTTATAGCAACTGTGTTCCCTCAGGTCAGGAAGGCCAAGGCTGGACTCGGAATAGGCTTACTGGACAATGAAATTCATGAAGAGCATTCAGTCTATTGGTATTATGCTCATTCAACAAGGTTCAAAAGGACCAGCACATTACCCACTAAGGAACAGCAAAATGTCCATGAATCTCCAACCTAGAAACTGATGACCTATACTATAATACTATATGAGGTTTAAACCATAGTCCACAATGCCATAGAAGAGCAAAACACCTAGGAAAAATATCCTTTCTGGAGAACTATTTAATATTCAAACCCCACACAGAGTTAACTATGACCATTCAAAATTGTTGCTTACTTTAAAGGAAAATTAAGACACTAATAAACAGTCTTATGTATATATGGCTAGATTTCAAGGACTTGAATTTTCCAGAAGAGACAATAATACATTTTTTGTAAATCCTTAATAAACTGATAGCTGAACACTAAAACAATATATTAAGATAAATGATATTATGCATAACTTACCCAAACACAAACCTTCCAAATTCCATTAGCCAAAAAGCATTAAATATTCCACCCAGAGCAAAAATAACCTATAATGTACAATCAATGAAAAAGTAAATTCAAGATATTTAAGAGAAATAAGTAACTTACAATAAATCACAACTTATACAGTGGTTTTAGTATTCCTTCTTAGTAAATCTGTGAAATTAAAATATTAATGTTCATGCCTTTGAAATACCAGAAATAATACTACCCCTCAAAGGCAGAATTAACCCTCAAGAGAGCACATAATAAAATAAATAAAATATTAAGCTCCATCTGTCTCAAGGGTTAAAATGGAATATGCATTATACTACATGGGCATTTGTAGACCCTTCTTAATTAAATTAGGCATTCATTAAACACACCTTTGCTGAAATTAGACAAGAATTCAAGTCACTATCACATAACCAATGAACGTTTTGGCCTTCCTTACCTGTCCAATGCAAATAAAGCAGCTAAAAATAATGGTGCCCCATCTGTTAGAAAGAGAGAGGGGGAATGAATTAAGAGTATGTCACCAAGCCCTTCAGTAATGATTCACTTTGGTTTCCTCTGACCCCTCTGCATTCCCTCTAAGGAAAGAAAAACGAAGTGCTCTGCCTCTGAAGTCAGCAGCTTCCCTAGGCTGAATGCTAATCTACAGAAGCCTTGACTTCTGAGGGAATTACAGAAGCTGTAGCAACGACATATGTTAGTTTAAATCACTGTCACCTCTTAAACAAAACTCATTATAGAATCTTCAAAAGGTACCCAGGGTTCCCATTTAATGTTGACATTCTTTATNAAGGAAAGGAAAATTTTTACACAGCACAAATTTTTACAGCAGGTAGATTAATTAGAAAACAAATAGGACAGTTGCTACAAACCCAACTATGTCAATAATTAATACAAATAGATTAAATAACCCAAGTAAACAGCTGAATTTGTAATCATGGATAAGAACATAGATGCATTTTAAGTATAAGAACACAGAAAGATTGAAAGTGAGAAGACAAAAGAGCCACCAAGCCGACGTTCACCACAAGGAGCTATCCTAACATCAGACAAAGGATTGGGAGGCAAGAGGCATCAACAAACAGAGAGACACTTTATAACGATCAGGGAGTCAATCCCACAGAAAAATAGCACAATATCAAATTCTTACACACCTGATAACTTAGCTTCAGAATACAAAGAGTAAAAAATATGAAAGCCACTGAGGGAAGTCATTGATCAAGTTCAAAACTTATCTGAAGAGTAAGTTACTAATTTTGAACTCAGTATCACAAAGCATCTGACTTGCTGAAGCACTGGTTGGCCTTGAAGTTGCCTCAGGGGCAGCTGGGAAGGGACAGTAGCTGGATGGTGACTGGATGGTGAGCTGTATCCATCCATCCCACTAGGTCTCTTATTCAGTGAAACCCCTAGAAGGCATCTCCAGGTGCTTCACTTAGAACAAACGCTATGTGTGTATTACATCTTTATGTGAGACTGCTGCATTCTATCTACATTTTTCTAAACAAATTCGAATTGATGTCAGCAGGTCACCCAGGGCACTGTCCCAGCCTTGGGATCCTGCAGCTCCTAGTCTCATTGTCAAAGGTCAATGTCATCTGCAGCTGCGTCTTGGTACCTGGCTGCTCGGGAATTTGGGTCTGATACTTAGAACAGTGAAATGTCCTCAGGATTATGCTCTAAAGGATCATAAATATGTAGAGGATTTTTAAATGCTGGTTTCCTCTCCAGCACGGAGCACATCACTTGCTTTTCCTGTGTCACCACTAATTTCTGCCCCAGGAGCTATTGTCTTATGAGCATCATTTCACGCTCTCCATCCTGCTTGCAGAGTCACCTTTCTCCTGCCACCATAACATGCACGTCCCACTCTGGGCAAAATCTCAGGTCACAGGTCATAATCTCTGCATTAAAATCCCTTTCTCTTGAAACAAGAAATTTCTACATTCATCCAAATTTAACCTTCAATTTCAAGTTTGCTTCAGACCCCACAATCTAGCAATATGTAGTGGTTCTCTTTTCTCCTTGCATCGCAACCCTCGTAGCCAAAGTTGTACAGAAAGAAAATATACAAAGGCAAGTTTGGTCAGCCTGCAATTTCCTACTTACTGTTAAGAGTGCTATGGGGAATCGAAGAGCTCTGGCATGTTATGGGACTTTCGGTTACTATAATTTGCCAGTTGTGAAATATACGTATATTCATTTGTGGGGTTTTTTCCCCTTAAAACTTCTTTCTTATTAAAAAGAAAAAAGAAAAGCATTCAACTGATTTCACATTTGATGGGTCTGTGAATAGCCAGGTGCTTTCAGATGAAAGCCTAAAAGTAAAATGAAACTAATCAAAAATTATTGGTTTCTCTAATGGTGCTGGCCAAATTGGGAGGAACAGTTGACCTCTAGAAATGTTATACCCTAAAGTACTTGAATATCAGAAATTAAAGAAATTTATCTATCACTAACCCAGCTCCTTTCTCTCACAAACTGAAGCCCTAGATGGATTGAGTGGCAATCCACCTTGTCAATCTGAGGGTGAGGAGCAAGCACATAGTCGGAAAAAAGAGCAGACGAGAACTGGGAGGTTGTAACAACACAGCTAACTATTCAAGTTATACATGTCACAAGTGCAACAATTCCAGGTGTTGACATGGTTCATGGTGAGGCCAAGGGAGTTGGTGCTGGGGGAGAAGAGAGGAGAATGTCTTCAGCCTCCGAAATGTCAAGAGTTTCTTCCCTGAGAAGCCGGGTGATGATGGGGCTAGCACGGCCACTGCTGGCCTTTGGTGGGGGCGACGGTTAGACATGCCCCAGGGCCTAATGAGTGCTGGACAATTCATTCATTCATTCAACAAACATTATCGAAGCCTCTCACTTTCTTAGATGCTTGAGATACAGAGGTCGAAATTGTAGATCTTACTGTCAGGAAGCCCACAGCTCAGTACTAGAGATGCTACACAAACCAGGCTATTATAGTACAGAATGGTAAACACAATGAGAGAGGTGCATAAGGACATTTTGGGACCCCCCCAAAGGGAGCACCTTTGCAGAAGGTAGAGGGGTGAGAGTGAGCAGCAGCGGATGACAAAAATGAACACGTGAGAGAGATGCATGAATCTCAAAGCAGAGATTGTACAAGAGGGTGTAAGACTCACTGTCCAGAAATGGACAATGGGAGATGATGATCATGAGGGATGAGCAGTCTTCGTATCAGAGTACTACAACCATCTCTTCCTCTTTAATCCTTCCTGCATCCCAGACTCTAAGCCTTAAACTGGAGTGTCTCCACTCTGGCCCAAAGTGCTCTCAATCCAGCATCTTCTAACCCTAATAAAAAAAATCATCCCTTCCCCTTAGCTATCCATTAAAATTGAAACTATTGGGTTAGCAGAAAAGTTATGACACATTTTTGCAAAAAAGAAAACATAGAAAAAATATGTCATGACTTTCCCAACAACCCAATAATTAACAGCGCCATGTGGAAGTCTGTCCTACTGTTCTGATGACACCAGCCTTTTAATGGATGTTTGCTGTGAAAGGTGTATTTTCCGAAAATAGCCACAGAATATTCCTGATTCTACACACTCTCCGGAACCTTGCTGCTCCCCCATTAAGATGTGGAGGTTATTTCCCATCCCTTGAAATTGGACTGGCCTTTATGACTTCTTCAATAAAAACACCTACTTAGAACCACTCGCCTGTACCCCTCCCTTCCCCCACCCATGCGCACCATCCCTTTAGGCTGTCCTCACTCCCCTTGCCTCCTTGACATGGGGCTTTGGCCCTGGAGTTTACTCCCTCCCTTCCCCCAGGAACACCGCCTTACTCTTCTTTAGTCCCTGAGGCACACCCTTGGGTTCCAGCTACTGCCCTTTCTCCAGGATGCCCCATATTTCTGCCATCCCTGCAGGGTCCCTCATAATGTGCCTCCAGCATTTCAGGGAATAAACCCAGCCTCTCTTGCTAAGGATAGGGCTGGGGGGGTGGACACAAAATAGGCACCTTGGTATTAACAAACACGGCAAGATGTTGTCTTGAGATAATTCATCTGTGGGGTTTTCTTTCCCTCCTTCGCTGTCCAATGACCACGTGGCCTCGTGAAAGAATAAAGTTGATAGAGAGGGATTAAAAACAGCCCCAAACAGTCAATGTTGAGCTTTGTGACTCGCAGGCAGCTTTTGAGAATCAAAAAAAGTGAGGCTTGGGACATGAAGCACATGGAACGAGGAAAGAGATTAGTTGTATAACAAAGGAAATATTATCAGTGTATGCTGCGTGCCTGAGCTGGGGAAAAAAAATTTTACAATAATCACGGAAGTGTTAACCTTTGATTTAACCAAAAATTACGATACAATTACTTTGGAAGAATGGGGAGAACAAGAGTGCTGAATCCTCATCTTTCATGGGAGGAAGTCAAGTGTTTCTATCTAAATCTGAAAAATCAATACAGAGGCATATTATTTAGACACATAGAGGAAACATCCAGAAGCAGCAGCTGAGCCAATTGAAAGCGGGCCTTTTGTTTCTCTGATGAGGAGGAATGTGTGGGAAATGGTAATCTGTCAGACCACAGGGAATTTTTCTGGTCAACAAACCGTAGGCTTCTGTGATTCTTTCCCCCACGTTCACTGGGTTCAACCAAAGTCCTCCCTTGAGGATTGCCAAGTGTAAGCTCTAAGATAACACACAAACACACACAATGAACTTCACTTGAACTTTGTTTTGTCCTAAGCCAAAAGTGTCATAACAAACAGGGAAGGAGCCAGAGCCCACACGGGTATGTGGGTATTAGGGCAGCGGTCTATTTCCTGAGCCGCTCACATTTCTTACCAACGTGAAGTCTGAGTGCCTTCACTAGTCTCCCAACATACCAGGCACTCAGTACATGTTTGAATGAATCAATCAATGAATGGACATCTACGAACCCATTAGCTTTCATGCATCATGAATGCTTAACAAACGTTAGGACTGACAGACGTGGTTTTCCTCTAGTGCTTCTTTCTGATTCACTTAGAGATTTAATGGCCTATGATGTGGTTTGTTATGTATGTGAAGTGGGCACTTCTCATGTACAAGGGATACTCCTGTCTTCAAAGAACCACAACTTGTTTGGGATGGCAAAACTCATGGCCCGGACAGTCGAGGATGGGTGCAAAGGAAGAAGTTGTTGGGGACCTGAACCCATCCCCTTAATGAGAGGCTGGTGCAGGGAGGCATGACATCCCCAACACTGGCTGCAAAGTCCCTTGAGACTCCTCCAAGTGTTTTGTTCAGGCTGAGGATGGGAAAATGGGAAGAGAGTGTCACACCAAGTGACACTCTTGTTTCTTGTTTGCAAAAGTCAACAAAGAGCAAACTTGGTTGGCTTCCCACAAGCATTCTCATGTTTACTGTAATGCTTTCACGCTAAAGCAGAGAAATAACAGTTCCTCTGGTGATGAATTCTCACCTGCCTGTCCTCCCAGGAGGGCCATGGAAGAGACATTTGCCAGCTGCCACTCGGCCCACTCCGTGACTGCGGATGTCAACTGATTCCCATTTGGGTATTTCCTCCCACTAGACAAATGATCAAACCGTTATCTAGGCGCTAAGAGACCCTGGTCTAGGCTCCTTCTTTTGGTGTTGACTAATTCTAGAATTCTGTGTCTATACTCCTGTGTCCTCAGGAATCCACCAGGTCCAGTGCTGGCCCCACCAATTCATATCATAGCAGCCCCTTCCTCATTTGTTCTAGGAGGAATATCCTAATGGAAGAGAATGCGTGGTCTCTCTCTGCACTTGTTCAGACTTTGAAGTATAGTCTTCACCATATGCATTTCTTTAGCTCTGGCTAGTTCACTAACAATGGGAGGTGCAACCCTCTTCTGGTTTTGTAAATATCCCTTTTTAGCAAAATGCATGCCCTTGGCATCTAAATGTCCCTGACTTTGGGAAATAAGATAACTACAGGAGGGGTACAATCTTTAAAGGGCTCTTGCACTCTTATGGGAAGGCTCTTTCTAGGGATCTGGTTGCTTTTGTGTGTGTTAAGAGTGCTCGGTTCTAACTACGTGTATCCAGAACAGAACCTGGCATAGAGTAGTCCCTTCATAAAATTTTTTAAATGAATGAAAAATGAAAACCTTGCATCTGATGGCCATGTGTATGTATCACATTTTGCTTATCCATTCCTCCATTGATGGACATCTCAGTTGCTTCCACGTTTTAGCTATTATGAATAAGGCTGCTGTGAGCATGGATGTACAAATATCTCTTTGAGATCCTGATTTCAATTCTTTTGGGTAAATACCCAGAAGTGGAGTTGCAAGTTCATATGGTAATTTTATTTTTAATTTTTTTGAGGAAACTCCATACTGTTTTCCACAGCAGCTATTCTTTTCTATTTTTTTATAGTAACCATCCTGATGGGTGTGGGGGGTGGTTCTACAGGCACTTTTCTGAATACTCTAGTTTAAATATGTCCACCCCAAACTGACCACAGAGCTGACAAAGCCAGGGTTTGTTACCTCAGCTCAAGCTGTCAGCAGGGCTTGCTGCGCAGCCCATCACACTAAAGGGGCCTATTATACTCTTGAGCAGCAAAACCACACAACTATCTCTCTCTCTCTCTCTCTCTCTCTCTCTCTCTCTTTCTCCCTCTCTCTCTTCCCCCTTCCCCTCTTTCCTGGGTCTCCAGCTTGCATGTGGCAGCTCTTTTAACAATTCTTCATAAAATTCATGACCTACTCTCACTGTTCTGACTTTAAGCTGCGTAACATTTTCATCTGACTAGTTTTCTTTCCAAGAATGGCTCTTACCTCTGCCAGGATCATCACCCTAGAAAGTACACCCCTGAGCCCCCACAAAAGTTCCCTTGGGGAAGGCAGAGCAGCCCATCAGTGACCCACTGGGGAAGTGGAGCAGGT